CTGAGTTCCCCTCTGTGAGATACACACAGCAGAGAATCCTCTACTACATCATTATCGGCTTCCGTTCCGCGGTGACTCGACGCGATTCCCATCATTCAGCGAGATCGGCTCCTCACAGAATCTCCTGCTTCTTCCCTCTTCGACCCGACTACAACGGCTGTGCTCCGACTGGAATCGAATGAAGATTAGGACCATGTAGCGAAAGGTATGTAAGGGGATCTCCGGAAGCGCCGGGAACGGAAGGGACGGGAATGTAAGGTAAGGCAAGGTAAGGGAAGGGAAGGGAAGGGAAGGGAAGGGAAGGGAAGGGAAGGGAAGGGAAGGGAAGGGAAGGGAAGGGAAGGGATCCGAGGTCAAGTCCCTTTCCGGCTGCGGCCAAGTGGAGGCCCCCGGGAGTGAGCTTCGGCTCCATATGACATGGCATTGCTTTTGTTTCCTCCTCTCTGCACTGCTACAGAATTATTTCTTACATGTATTTATAAAAAAAAAAAAAGTAGCATTTGTTTTGTAGAACGGTATTATACTTACAGTAAAATGGAGAAGGTAGCACAGAGAGCCCCCATACACCTCCTAGCCACTTTGTGGCTGCCTCACCGTGAGACTTTATTCACTGACACCTGCCATTGGCTCAGATGTCCTGAGATTTTTCCCTAACGTCCTTTTTCTGTCCCAGGACCACCCCACCCTCCAAGATCTCACATGATGCTTTTTGTCAAGAAAGAGACAGAGAAATAGAGATTTCCCATCCACTAGTTCACTCCTCAAATGCCCACAAAGCTGAGGTTGAGCAAACTAAAGACAGGAACCAAGAACGCCACCAAGGTTTCCCATGTGGGTAACAGGAACCCAAGTACTTGAGCCATCCCCTGCTGCCTCTCAGGGTCTGCGTTAGCAGGAAGCTGAGATAAGAAATGAAGCCAGGACTTGAACCCAAGCTCTCCGTGGCAGGACATGGGGGCATCTGAACAGCTAGGCCACGTGCCTGCAATGTGACCTTTGACCTTAGTCACCACATCTCCTTAGGCTCCTTTGGTGGTTTCTCAGACTCTCCTTGTTTTTGGTGACCTTGACCGTTTTGAGGAGGCCTGATCAAGTGGCTTGTAGAATCTCCCCTAATCTGAGTTTGTGGATGTTTTTCTCTTGGTTAGACTGGGGTGATGGATTTGGAGAAAGGGAGACAGAGAGGCGAGGGGTGCATCTCACATCCTGTTGGGAGCACGTGATTCCCACGTGACCATCACCGTGGACGTTGACCTTGATCGGCCAGCTGAGCAGCACAAGAACGTTTGTCTTTGTTCATGCACCGAATGTCTGCTGAGCACCTACTGCATGCCAGATGGTGCACTAGGACCTTGGCGTAGGAGCTAAGGTCAGCCCTGGCCCTGGAAGCACTCAGGAGCCCGTAGAGCAGGCAGGCACAGAAGTCACTGACGTGGAGCGTGTGTTGGCCTGGGGTTTAGGGTTGGGTGCTGGAGGGAGGGGGTTGACAGGAACGATTGCACAGAAAGGATGCCCAAACCAGAGCCTGGGCGGTGCCTTCTCCACAGAGGGGTAGCACGTGCAGGCCCTGCGGGAGGAAACCCATGTGTGGGTGCAGAGGGCTGAGCTGAGGGAAGGGGCGAGGCTGAGGAGGTCATGTGCACTCTGCAGAGAGTCTGGGCTCCACCCCGCCCAGAGGAGCTGCCACAAGGTGGTGGTTTTGTTTTTAAACTTTTTAAAAAAAGATGTATATATTTATCTAAAAGCATTACAGGGAGAGAAAGGGAGAGAGAGAGAGAGATCGTCCATCTACTGGTTCATGCCCCCAGATGGTAGCAATAGCTGGGGCTAAGTCAGGTCAATTCCAGGATCCAGGAACCCCATCCGGGTCTTCCACACAGGGAGCAGGAGCTAAAGCACTGGGGCCATCTTTCGTTGCATTCTCAGGCGCATTCACAGGGAGCTGGATCAGAAGCAGCGCAGCCGGGACTCAAGCTGGTGCCATGTTGGATGCCAGTGTCACAGGTGGCAGTTTACCCCATTGCACCACAATACCCTCCCCCTGCCCTTTTTAAAAGTATGAGTTTTATTTTGTATTTGAGAGGCAGAGGGAGAGAGTTCACTCCTACCCACTGGTTCACTCCCCGAATGCCCACGATGGGACTGGCTAGGGCCAATGCTGGAAGCTGGGAGTTGAGTCCAGGCCTCCTGCGTGGGTGGCAGGGACTCAGGTACTGGGTGGCACTGCCTCCCGGGGTCTACATGAGCAGGAAGCTCGAGCCAAGAATCCGTCCCCAGCACTCGGAAGTGGAGCATGGGCGTCTTAACCACTAGGCCAGATACCCTGCTCCAGCGTTTTGGGCAAGTGGGTGGGGTGGCTAGAGCGGCAGGTCTCTGTGGTTCTGGTGGCCCCAGAGACATCAGAAGTGAAAGAGACAATAGAAGAGGCCGGCGCCGCGGCTCACTAGGCTAATCCTCCGCCTAGCGGCGCCGGCACACCGGGTTCTAGTCCCGGTCGGGGCTCCGGATTCTGTCCCGGTTGCCCCTCTTCCAGGCCAGCTCTCTGCTGTGGCCCAGGAGTGCAGTGGAGGATGGCCCAAGTGCTTGGGCCCTGCACCCGCATGGGAGACCAGGAGAAGCACCTAGCTCCTGCCATCGGATCAGCGCAGTGCGCTGGCCGCAGCGGCCATTGGAGGGTGAACCAATGGCAAAAAGGAAGACCTTACTCTGTGTCTCTCTCTCTCACTGTCCACTCTGCCTGTCAAAAAAAAAAAAAAAAAAATAGAAGAAGACCAGAGGTGGGAGGTGGCCTTAGGACAGTGGCTGTGGGACTGGAGCATTCAGATAGCAGACCAGACTATGTGAGAGGGAAGGAGCAGAGGGCTTGGGTGACCGTCTCCTGATCTCTTCCCCGCCCCCCCCCGCCCCCCCCCCCCCGGTGCTCCAGGAGGGCAGGGGCCACAGAAGCACGTGGAGGGCTGGCGGGAGGGGGGCGGGGCAGAGGCTGTGATGGAATAGCTAGGGAACTGCAGTCTTGGCCGGTGCTCGGGAGAAAGGAAACAGCCAGAAATGAGGGCTTCACAATCGCAGACATGGTTGGCCATCGAAGCCCTGAGAGCGAGATCCTCAAGGGCACGCAAGGCCAAGATCAAGGGCATGACCTGCGGAGGAAGAGGCACCACACAGCAGACCTCGAAGGCCTGGCCAGGGTAGGCAGTCTCTCCTTAGCCAGGCGGGGAGGGGACTTCAGGGAAGAGGACCCAGGACCCCGAGAGAGGGGAAGGGAGGTCCAAGATGCCCAGCAGCCCGCCTCCACTCCTGCAGCCTGGTCCAGTGCCAGAGCAGCGGGCTGCCCTGGGCAACTGTGGCAGGTGGCAGTGCGGGCAGGGACCCCCTCTCAATGACAGGTGCAGCAGAAGCAGAGTATCAGAGTTGAGGGCGTGGGAGACCAGGGCCGGTCTGTGCACAGTGGGCGTGGCTGTGTGCCGAGAGGATAGGCCTTGCCCATCTGGCTCTGCTGCACGCTCCAGCCTACAGCAGCGTCCAGCCCTCAGACAGCCCTTGGCTGTGCTGGCCTCGTGTGGGACATAGTGCTGTGGAGAAGGCAGCAGGGCCACCCTCGGGACCAGGACAGCAGCAAACCAGCCCCTAGTGCAAACCCACTGGCTCCCAGAGTGGCATGGTCTGAACAGTGTGTGCCTGTGTGTGTATGAGTGTGCATGGTGTGGGTGGGGGTGTTATGAGAGTGTGCATGTGAGGGAGTGAGAGAAGAGTCTATGGGAGTGTGTATGTGTGTATAAGTTGACTAAGCATGTATGCATCATATGAATGCATGTGTGTAGGTCCAAGTGTGTGTGCTGCTTCACACGTGTCTCTAAGTACATGTGTGTGAGTGTGCACACACATGCACATGCACACACAGGCTTCCAGAAGGCTGGGCAGTGTTTGGACAGTCTGGGAAGAGTCAGAAAGCTCTGGAGGGCTCAGGAGGACTCCAGGCTACGAATGCCAGCTGTGTGTTTTTAAGTTGTCCTACCTCCTACATGCAACATGCCTTCATATGCAATAACAGCCCCACCAACTCGGCCAGCGCTGGCCCCTGGGCTTGGGGTTGAGCCATTCTCTGAGGCTCCTTAGGGGGAACAGGGTGAGGCCAATGCACCCTGAGGCTGGGTCTCCTGGCTCAGCAGTGCGAGGGTGGTCCTGGCCACTGCCCTGGCCACATGTGGTCCTCTGAGCTCTCGAGACTCCCCCAGCCCTGCTGTGGCTTTGAGATTCTGGCCCTGGCCTCCACCTCCTGCCCTCCCTGCCCAGAGAGATCCCTGGATCCTTGCTGTGCTGTTCTGTCTACAACCTGGCACTGGCCCAGCAGGCTGTGAGTGGACCTTGACTCCATGGGAGGCCCCGAGCACCCCCACTGTCACTTTGCAGAAATTATTCATTCCTGGTCAGGCTCAAGGGTAGGTGGTCCCTGGCAAGCTGGGCAATGGGAGGGTCCCTGCCACCCCCAAAGCCCAGTGCCCTAAGCACCCAACTGACAGGAAGAGCCAGTGGCCCTGTGGAGCCACTGAATAACTGGGGAAGGAGGATTCAGGCCCACCCCATGACCAAACAACCCCAGACAGGAGGACTGGGATCGTGTACACGGCCAGGGGCAGGTCCAGGGTTCCTGTGGGCCCTGGGGTGTGGGCTGGGGACTGAATCTGGACTACGGGAAGGAGTCTGAGGATGGCCAGGCAGGTGTCAAGTGGTCTGCCCTCATCCTGTCCCTGTCCCCTCTGCAGGGACGCTGGCAGCCACTCCCTTCTCAGGCCAGCATGCTAGCCTGGGCTTCCCAAGACTGGGCAGGAGGAACACCTGGGGAACACCGTCCCCAGCCCTCACCTTCCCCCCCAGAACCATTTCTAGCTCTAGAACCTCCCCTGGGGTTCCATGGCCATGGCAGAACCCAGGAGCCCTGGCTCCCCTGGAGACCACAGCCCTGGCCTTGGTGGGACAATAATGACTTGTTGGGCGTCATGGAGCGCCAGGCAGTATTCTAAGCACTCAATGTGCCACAGCCTGCTTGGTTTTCAGGGCCACCCTCCAAGAGAGGTGCTGTAAGATCTCAGTCTTTGAAGACCAAGAGAAGCCTAGTGGCTGGCCCTGGGTTACCCAGCCACACTTCAGACCCAGGTCCATCTGAGCCTGGAGCCTGACATGGTTCTCACCCGCCTCCTGCCAGACTGGCACAAAGCAGGAGTCCAGTGTCCTTGAAGCCCCCCAGAAGGGTCGGGCCAGGCCACCCCAGGAAGAACAGGAGAAATGCGCCCAGCACAAGGCAGGCAAAAGCCCCAGCTCCCCTCCCAGCCTGCAGCTCTGGCCCTGCACCCACCAGGGCACTGACTCCCACCTCTGTGGTGTGTCCCTGGCTTCCTGGCCCACAGGGAGTCGGTTCTTCCGGCCGCTGGCAGTGGTGAACAATTACCAGCAGAAAGGAACCGCTTGGGCGGTGCCAGCAGCCCACTTTGTTTGATGAGATGGGGAAGGTCAGGTGCTGAGGCAGGGCTCACAGGGCAGCTGCAGCTGGGCACAGGGACCAAGCCGTGAGAGAGGGCCGCAGAAGCGGGGGCTCCTACAGCCCCAAGGCCCCTGCAGGGTCGCTGGGACCCCGAGTGACAAGGAGCCCCACCCTGGGCCATGCAGCAGACTCAGGGTGTGGAGCTAAGACTCGGCCTTCATGGTGGGACAGCTCAGGTCCAGGCATCTGGCCTGGCCCCACAGACAGGGATCCTAGTAGCCAGGCAAGGAGCCGACACAGCTGTCAGCTGGACTGGGTGCATGGGAACGAGGGGTGCATGGAGGGGATGGGCCAGAGGTGGCAAGCTTGGGGGAGGAAGTGTCGCAGGGGAGGGCAAGCAGGCTGGGCTGGCCCAGGGCCGGCAGCTTGGGGTGAGCACCCACCCAATGCCAACCACACGTGTCTCTGGCCCTCAGATAGAACTGTGACCCAGTCCCACTCCGAGAGGACCAGCCTGCCCACCATGGCGAGCCCCACTCTGAGCCCCGACTCCTCGTCCCAGGAGGCCCTGTCAGCCCCCACCTGCTCCCCCACCTCGGACTCTGAAAACCTCAGCCCCGATGAGCTGGAGCTGCTGGCCAAGCTCGAAGAGCAGAACCGGTGAGTGGGGGCTGGGGCCCGGGGAAGGGCCTCAGGGGTGCACAAGTCCCTGGGCCCCTTCATACTCAGAGCTGGGCTGAGCCCTGGACAAGGTAGCAGCTCGCACCCTCCCAACCACGGCTGGACAGCTAGGCCCCTGTTCAGATGAGGAGAGCCAGGGTCTGAGAGGTCAGGTGACTCCAGGCAAGAGGCTAAAACCTGCACCTCTGGAGCCAGGCCTCCTGCTGCACCCTCAGGCCTGCCCCCTGAGCAACTTCAAATAAAAGTGTTGTTATTACTCAGGTATAGCGACACCCACAGGTCCCTGACACCCCTGCCATGGAAAAGAGTTTGTTGCCAAGAGGAAGGGGCACAGCACAGGCAGAGCCGCACAGGGAAGGCCCAGGGCTGGCAAGGAGCAGAGCAAGTGCAGGCAGAGCCTTTATTGTGGTTCCCAGGGAAGGAACAGGCGAGGCGGGGGAGCCGCATTGTCATTCCCAAGTCTGGATCATTGCAGCAGGCTGGGGCCCAGGGCTGCCCAAGGTATCTGGTTACCCGGCCCTGGGGTGACTGGGGCAGTTGAATCATGGCACAGAATGTGAGAGGAGAGTCTGAGGGAGGAGGCGGCTGGGGTGTGGGCTGGGACTGGTCGGTTTACAGATGCAAGGTGCACCGGTACATGAGTCCCTTACTGCTTTTAGCAACTAACCAGCCTTGCAAGGGGCCCCATCTGTCAGAAGCATCAGAAACACATGGTTAATACAAGGATATTTCAAAATGCTTGGGAGATGAAATTAAAAGGTAAATATCTGGAGCTGGTATTTGGCCAAGTGGTTGAGATACCCACATCCCCTGTTGGAGTAGTGGGGTTCAATTTCCGGCTCACTCTGCAAATGGTTACGACAACCACATCTGAACCAAGCCAAAGCCAGGAGCAAGGAACTCCATCCGGATCTCCACATGGGTGACAGGGGTCCAAGCACTTGGGCCATCATCCACTGACTCCCCAGGTGCATTAGCAGGGAGCTGGAGCAGAAGTGGAGTAGCTGGGACTGGAACCTATGTTCTGATATGGGATGCCCACTTTGGAATAGGCAACTTACATGTCTGCATCCCAATGCTAGCCCCAAAAATTATCTTTAAAAAATGTACTTATTTATTTGAAAAGCAGAATTATATAGGGGGTGAGGAGAGAGAGATTGACCTTCCATACACTGGTTCACTCTCTAAATGGCCACAGTGGCCAGGGCAGGGCCAGACAGAAGCCAAGAGCCTGGAACTCTACCACACCAAGGGGCTAAGGTGAGGACCTTGGTTCTGAGAGGTCAGGTCATGGGCCAAGGTCACTCAGCAAAACTGACCCAGACCGATGCCTGGAGCCCTCCCAGAGACCCCAGCTCCAGGGAGTCACGGGAGCCACTGCCAATGCCCTTCCCACCCAGGCTCCTGGAAGCCGACTCCAAGTCCATGCGTTCCATGAATGGCTCCCGGCGGAACAGCGGCTCCTCGCTGGTGTCCAGCTCCTCGGCCTCCTCCAACCTGAGCCACCTGGAGGAGGACACGTGGATCCTGTGGGGCCGGATTGCCAACGAGTGGGAGGAGTGGCGGCGCCGGAAGGAGAAGCTGCTCAAGGTGGCGGGGGCCGGGAGGCCAGGCAGGCAGAGCGGGTGGGCAGCCGGCATGGTCACCCAGCCACTGGGCAATGCCAGCGTCTGCTAGCGGCGCTTTGGGGGCGTCCTGCCGGGACACGGGGACAGGAGGGAGTGAGGGGCGGGGCTTTCTGCACCGCATTGGCCTCTAAGGACTGGGGACTCTCCCCGCGTGGCGCGGCACAGTGGCTTGGAAGAACTCTGAGCCAGAGGCCGCGTGTGGACAAGTCACACCCAAGGGGCTCGGCTGGGTGGCCCGGGGAAGCCTGCTTAGGACGGAGTCCAGCCCCGGCCTCCCGCTCCCTTCCCCGCCCTGCGCCCAGGAGCTCATCCGCAAGGGCATCCCACACCACTTCCGGGCCATCGTGTGGCAGCTCCTGTGCAGCGCCACGGACATGCCCGTCAAGAACCAGTACTCGGAGCTGCTCAAGATGTCCTCGCCGTGCGAGAAGCTGATCCGAAGGGACATCGCGCGCACCTACCCGGAGCACGAGTTCTTCAAGGGCCAGGACAGCCTGGGCCAGGAAGTGCTCTTCAACGTCATGAAGGTGGGGCGGGGCTCCCCTGCCCTCGGCCCGCCCCCTGGGCCCCTGCGCTCATGACGCACCCTTCCTCCCCAGGCCTATTCCCTGGTCGACCGGGAGGTGGGCTACTGCCAGGGCAGTGCCTTCATCGTGGGCCTGCTCCTCATGCAGGTAGGCTGCCTGGGCCAGACCAGCCAGGGTCCCCACCCACCCACCCACCCATGTCCGCCAATGCTCAGGACACAGAGGGGCCGGGCGCCTGCCCAGGACAGAGACAGTGGCTCCCAGGGCTGGTCAGCTTGGACTTAAGGCAGCCAGCACAGTGCTCGTGGGGCCTGCGAGTTTCCTCCAGAGAAACCAGGTGGGAGAAGAGGGGCAGCTGGGAGGAGACAGGAGCGTGACACAAGCAGGTGGATGAGACTGTGGGCTATGGCAACGGTCAGGCCCAACCCCAGCTTCCCTGTTTCCTGCCAGGTGGCCATCCGTGACACGGGGTGGCTGCATTTACCAGTGGTAATGTGTTGTGAGGGTAGCGAGGTACAGTCCCTGTCCAGCAGATGTAAAGGGGACAGAAACAGGCTGCTGTGTACACAGCGACCAGGTCTGCAGGCCTCCCCGCCCCGCCCCTCCCCCCAGATGCCCGAGGAGGAGGCCTTCTGTGTGTTCGTGCGGCTGATGCAGGAGTACCGGCTGCGGGAGCTCTTCAAGCCCAGCATGGCCGAGCTGGGGCTCTGCATCTACCAGTTCGAGTACATGCTGCAGGTGAGCGCGCAGGGCCAAGTCCAGGCCCGGGAAAGCGCACCCAGCTCGGGAAGGGGCTCCTGTCCCCCGGCAGGCTTCACGGCAGTGCTCTGGAGGATGCTGGCGGCAGAGAGGGGGCTGCCCACTTATGTGGGGGCTCCCAGAAATGGTCATGCAGAAGGGGAGGCCCGGCTGCCTCGGACACATGACCACGGCCCGCCCCGAGTCCCCGGTGGCAGCAGCCGTGCAAGTGTTGTCTGCCTGCCCCTGCTGATTCCCGGGAAGCCGCAGACACTCTGTGTATAAATAGCAGCCCCCACAGAGCCGCTCCGTGTTACACACACACGTGCTCTCTCTGTCTCTCATACTCTCGCCAGCCCGCTCCAGAAGCCGGCAGCAGGTGGGCTGTGCAATTAGGGTGCACCTGGAAGTCAGTGCCCAATAGGGCCACAAACAAGGCCTGCGGGGGAGAAGCAGTGACCCCACCCCAGGCCAGAGAGCCCCTCCTTCCTGGGGGAGCCCCGAGGTCTTCACACCATCCCCAGCCTCAGTTTCCCCAGTGGCCTGCCACTTCCCAGCCTTCTGAAGTTCAGGGCAACCAAGCACTGCTGTGTCCAGCGCTTTGTGCGAGGGGCCATGGATGCCACAGGATGAGCTCCCACAGGCCTGTGGGCCCCATCCTGCCTCGCTGCACCTTTGCCCCTCTGGGTGACTCTAAGGAATGACTAAGTCTGAGGAGTTCCCCACTGGGGTCAGGAGAACCCCATGGGCTTCTGGGAGTGGAGCAGTCAGTTAGCACCTGCCCGGGTGGGCTCCCAACACGGGGTAGCTGCTTTGGCTCCGGCCACCTGGTGCTACTCGGTTCTCTGAGATGCTATGGTTTCCCCCAAGCACCGGGAGGGGAGCTGTGGGCTGCCTGGGGTGTGGCAGAGGCACTGAGACCCAGCACCCCCTCACCATGCGGTCTGGCCTTGCCCCTCCCCGCAGGAGCAGCTCCCGGACCTCAACACCCACTTCCGCTCGCAGAGCTTCCACACGTCCATGTATGCCTCGTCCTGGTTCCTCACGCTCTTCCTCACCACCTTCCCGCTGCCCGTCGCCACGCGCGTCTTCGATATCTTCATGTATGAGGTGGGAGCCAGCAGGCCACTCCCCCACCCAGTCCTCTGTATGAAGCGAGTCATGCTGGGCCGGGCGGGGGTCTGGGTTCCTGGAGGCCCTGGGACAGGCTCACTGCTGCTTGCCTCGTCCCTCACAGGGGCTGGAGATCGTGTTCCGGGTGGGCCTCGCCCTGCTGCAGGTGAACCAGACGGAGCTGATGCAGCTGGACATGGAGGGCATGTCCCAGGTGGGCCAGGAGGGCGGCGAGGGTGCGCTGCACCCCACAGGGCCCTGGGCACAGGAGTGGGGGCGCTTGGACGTCCCTGGTCCCGTCCTCCCCATTCTGTCCTTGCCTCGGCCTGGCGGCAGTGACACCGGAAAACGCAGGTCCAAGCCCTGGGAGGCCCCACCCCTCCCTCCTGTCTCTGCTCTGGGTCCCCCTGGCCCACGAGCAAAGCGTGACCCTGGCCCAACCCCAAGGCTCTGGTGCCATTTCCACCTCAGCCACCCAGCCTGGCCTGCCCCTCGCCGCTGCTTCCCAGCCTGCAGGCCCCTGCCCCTCCCGGCATCACCCAGCTGGTGCTTCAGGAAGAATGCACAAAGCCACGGTTGTGCCTGGGAACACGGGCGTCCATTGTCTGCAGCTGCTGGAGGAGGCCAGCTGGGCTGGGAATGGGGGCCACGTCCACCCACTCACCTTAACCCTTTGCAGAGCCCCTCCGTGAGGTCTCCTCTGCTCAGTCCCTACCCAGCCCCAGCCTTCCTCCTCACACATCCCCCCAGCCTCCCTGTCCCCTGCAAACCAAAGCCCTGGCTACAGGTGGCTCAGCAAGGTCAACCCTCCCCTCTCCCCCATTCTCGCCTCTCACTCTCCACATTCATTCATTCACACCACAGCAACCCAGGCCCTGTGCGGGGGACATGAGCTTGCCCCAGGCAGACAAGTCCCTGCCCTCTGCCAGGGCAGCAGGACACTGCAGGGGTCAGGTGGCCCCCGGCGGCCAGGACCCGGGTGCCGGTGACCACCTGTGTCCTCACAGTACTTCCAGAGGGTGATCCCCCACCAGTTCGACAGCTGCCCGGACAAGCTGGTGCTCAAGGCCTACCAGGTCAAGTACAACCCCAAGAAGATGAAGAGGTCGGTGCTGGGCAGCCAGGAGCCAGGGAGGAAAGGGGCGTCCCCGGGGGCGGGACAGTGACCCCGTGGGCCCTGTCCCTTTGCAGGCTGGAGAAGGAGTATGCAGCCATGAAGAGCAAGGAGATGGAGGAGCAGATTGAGATCAAAGTGAGTCCAGAAGCAGGGGCCAGGGCTACAGTGTTTTTTTTGGGGGGGTCCCCTAACTCCAGAGTTGGCTGCAAGAGGGTGGCCTTGCCCAGCACATGGTCCTCAGGGTCTGGGAAGGTGGTCCCTGGCCCAGCTGGCCCTCCTCTCACTTGCCAGGCCAGGAAGAGAGTGCCTGCCCCAGGTGGTCATTCTCCCTGCAAGTGACACAGCCGTAAACTGGACAGTCATGGTCCCTGCCCTCGTGGGGCCCTCCATGTCACTGACACCACGTGGGTTCTCTGCAGAGTGCTCTGGATACAAACATGCAGGAAGAAGGTGGGGTGGACTAGGGCGGCGCCCCACCCCCAGGGAGTCCATGCAAAAGGCCTGAGGCCACAGTGTGTGTAGGGGGAGGGAATTTGAGGGATCACTAGAAGGCCACGGGGCGGGGGGGCCCAAGACGAGGGGGTGAAGGGGGAGAGTTGAGGCAGGCGACAGGCTGTGTAGGCCAGGGTATGGATACCCACCAGCCTCCTGGTTCCCTGGTGCCTGGCCCACCAGCCCCAGTTCCCTGAGCCCTCAAAGACTCGGAGCCTGGGCTCCCCACTCTTGCCTGTCTTCTGTTTCATTGCTCCAAACGTCTTTTTAGTCATTCGCTCAACAAGCATTTATTGAGCACTTGCTGTTTGCCCAAGTCACAGCCAGGACTGAAGTCCCCAAGGTCCAGCTGGGGGAACAGATACAGACAGAGACCCCAACACAGCCTCTGTCCTCTCCAGGGGCAGAGCCACACAGCAGCCAAGACGGGCGTCCATCAGACCCGGGTTCAAATCCCAGCGGCACGGCCGAGCAGCTGTAGGATCTTGGGAGGCAAACTCACCTCCCTGAGCCTCAGTGTTCCCTTCTGCATAATGGGGATGACGTTTGCTCCCCTGTTCAAGTTATTATTATTACTCTTAGCAGCAGCAGCCCCGCTGCCTCTAGAGAGACGGGGATAGAACCTAGGTTAGAATCCGGGTCACCTGTCACCCACACCCGAGGAGGAATCAAAGGTCCTGGCCCTGCCTGTAGATTTTCCAGAAACAGCTCTGTATCCGGAGTGTTGGAGCATCTCCTTTTCCCAGGCCTGGCAACATAACTGCTGTACCCGTCCAGAGGTGCATGTCGGTCTTGCTCACGTACGAATGAGAGCCTGCTTGCATCTTGTGAACATGAGGGTGCAGCACCAGGCAAAGACGCAGCAGGCCCCCCAGCCTTGGGCCCAGCCTGGCGGCTTCCCAGGAGAGGGATGCGAGAGCCCCAGAGGCCTCCAAGGGTCAGCCAGAGTCTCTCAGCCCTGCCCTTCACCCTTTGACCTTTAGCCTGTTCTAAGATGTCACGGGGATTTGTCTTCATCGGGGAAGGCAAGGTGATGGACACGGGAGAAGCGTTTCTTACAGCCCCCAAGAGGAGGCGGCTGGCCATGCCAGGCTGGGGCCAATTGGTGGACCCTTAGTGGGAGACATGGCGGTATGTGCAGGGGCGGGGCCAGAGTCTGGAGTGTGGTTTGGGTGAAGTGAGGCAGGGTAGGCAGGTGGAGCAGGCTGAAGATTGGATAGCTTGCGTGATTTCTGCAGCTATGGGCTGGAGGGGTCACCCCCAGTTTCCTGGTACCTAGAACTGGGGTGACTTGTGATTTAAAAGAAGGCAGCTGAGAGACTGGGCTCCACACTGGTGGGTTTATATACAGGTGGACTTCAAAAAGTCTGTGGGAAAATGATATTAAAAGACAAACTTATTTTGGTGCAAAAAAAAAAACCACAAATATTTTGAAACTTGTGCATAGTTATTTTCAAGACACGCATTTTCCATGAACTTTTTGGAGAACCCATGTAGGAAGGTATCCTCCCAGGCAGGCCATGCGTGTGCTGTCTAGGCCACCCCTCCTGAATGCCCAAGGCCCAGATGGCAACACATCATACCACTTTTTTGTTTTTTTCCAAGATTTATTTGTTTATTTGGAAGGCAGAGTTTCAAAGAGAAAGAGAGAGAGAGAGAGATCTTTCCTTCCTTGGTTCACTCCTCAAAGGGCCACAACAGCCAGGGCTAAGCCAGGCAGAAGCCAAGAGCTTCATCCAGATCTCCCACATGGGTGCAGGCACCCAAGCCTGTGGGCTCTCTTCAGCTGCTTTCCCAGGTGCATGAGCAGGGAGCTGGATGGGAAGTGCAGCAGCTGGGACTCGAACGGGGCTCAGATAAGATGCTAACACCACAGGCAGTAGCTTAACCTGCTACATCACAATGCCAGCCCCATGTCATACAATTTTCAAAAATTAAAATCAAGGGGCCTTCTTCCGATCCAGCTCTCTGCTGTGGCCTGGGAAAGCAGTAGAAGATGGCCCGAGTCCTTGGGCCCCTGTACCTGCTTGGAGACCAGGAGAAGCTCCTGGCTCCTGGCTTCGGATCAGCGCAGCTCCAGCCATTGCGGCCATCTGGGGAGTGAACCAGCAGAAGGAAGACCTTTCTCTCTATCTCTCCCTCTCACTGTCTGTAACTCTACCTCTCAAATAAATAAATAAAAATCTTAACCAAAAAAAATTAAAATCAAGGGGCTGTGCCAAACACCTGTGCCCACCCTATGCAGCTTCATTCATTCATTCATTCATTCGCTCCCATTTCCCTTTGGTAGAAGCAGGGAAAAGGGGCATTGTGGGTCAGGACTGTCCCCCTCCCCCAACCATGGCTCTGCTTGCTGCAGTGACCAGTTGAGGCCAGAAAGAGGGCAGAGCACCGCAGGGGCCCAGGGTCTGGGGCCCATGTGCCTGAAACAGCTCTGGCCCCACAGATCTGGGAGGCTCAGGCAAGGCCTTTCTCCAGCACAAGTGAGTCCAGCTGCCTCCTGGGAATGTCCTGGGTGTTCCAGAAACAAGCCAGGAAGTGTGCGGTATGGCCCACACTGATCCCAACTGTTTCTGGACCTGCTCGGCAATGGGTCTGCAGCACACACTAGAGGCTTCTCCCAAAACACCTCAGACAGACGCAAGTGTGGGCTAGCAATAGGTGTGGGAAGAGGGTGCCCACCCCAGAGCATTCCCATCATTTTTACTGAACAAAGATGTGCTTTTAAATTTTATTTTTTAAAAGATTTATTTCTTTGAAAGGCAGAGTTACAGAGAGTGAGAGAAGGAGAGAGATCTCCCATTTGCTGGTTCACTCCCTAAATAGCCACAATGGAAACCAGGAACCTGAAACTCCATCTGAGTCTCCCATGTGGGTGGCAGGGCCCCAAGCACTTGGGCCACCCCTCTGCTGCTTTCCCAGGTGCATTAGCAAGGAGCTGGGTCAGAAGTGGAGCAGCCAGGGCTCAAAACAGTGCCCCAGTGTGGGATACCAGCATCACAGGTGGCAGCTTAACCCACTGCACCACAATTTTATTTGAAAGGCAGTGTGAGAGAGAAAGGGAGAAAGAAAGAGAGAGAGAAAGGGAGAGAGAGAGAGAGAGAGAGATCTACCAAATGGCTGCAGTGGCCAGGCTGAATGCAGGAGCCTGGAACAGCGTCCAGGTCTCCCACATGGGTGGCAGGGGTCCAAGTACGTGGCATATCATCCACTACTTTCCCAGGCACATTAGTAGGAAGCCAGATCAGAAGTGGAGTTGCCAGGACTTGAGCCAGGACTCCGATATGGTTCAATCTGAGTGGCAGGTGGTGGCTTAGCCTGCGGCACCACAACACCAGCCCTACAAGACTTGTTATTTTTTTTTTTTTATAATGGGCCATTCTGAAGAGGCGTTTCCTGATTGAAATTGTTGACCCAGGACCTTACGATGCTGGTCTTGTCTCACTTGGCGGTAGCCTGGTCCCAGAGAGGACCCTCATCAGCAGTGGGCGAATGGGGGTCTGGTGCACAGACATGGGGGGCAGGCTCTGACATGTCCTCCCCCACCCCATAGAGGCTTCGGACGGAGAACCGGCTCCTGAAGCAGCGGATTGAGACCCTGGAGAAGGTGAGGGGTCTGTCCAGCAGCCAGAGGCCAGCCAGCCCCCCTGCCCCTCCGCCCCGGGCACAGACCCCACACTGAGTCTGTGGGCTCTGAGATCGGGCTGCCCCAGCACTGGGGGCTCTGGGGGAGCTCACTGGCCCTGTGATTGACCTGGGGTTAGGGCCGGGTTTAAACCTCAGGAACTGCAAACATCGCTCCCAGGCTGCTTGCGGCTGAGGAGGGAGGAGGCAGAACTAAGGGGGAGCCTGTCCATGGCTCCCCAGCCTGTAATTTGAAAGTGCTGCCCCCAAAAGAAGGAAAGAAAGGAGGTAGAATACAGGAGAAGGGGCGCCCTTGCCACAGGTGCTTGGGGGTGGGCAGCGTTGACCCTGGACCCCTCGTGGGGAAAGATGGGGCCCCGCGCCTCCTGCTCTTCCCTGTGGTTTCCCAGCCCTGGGGCCTCCCCACCCTCGTGCTCACGCAGGGACCCTCTCCAGGACGGAGCTGGCTCTGGCTTTGGTCTTCCTGCGGCTCCTCTCCTGCTGGTTTTCTGGCCTTCACTCCTCTCTCCTGCTTGTAGACGTAGTCCACTGCGTTAGTGACAAGTGGTTCTTGTCTGTCTCTCCCCTCTCCTGTCCCCGCGCCTTCCGCTCTGCCTCCTCCCCCTGTCGCTGGGAACCCCCCTGGCCCGCCCGCCGGGTAGGAGAGCGCTGCTCTGGCTGATAGGTTAATCCAGGTACTGTAGCATGTTGTCTGTTTCCTCCCTGGCCCCTTCCCAGGCCCCTGCACACAAACAGCCAGTAACCGCCTCTTCCCCGCCGCTGCCATTCTGGCCTGGCGCGTGCATGGGGGCAGTGGGGGGGCCGCTTCTGGGGACATAGCGGCTTTCCCCAGGGGGCAGGGGGCTGAGTGGAGAGCAAGTGGGACTTGCGTGGCGGGGGTGGGGGTCGGGATGCGTGCCTGGGTGTCTGGCTGTGAACGCACAAGCACGTGGACAGGAAGCTCCCTCCCTCCCTCCAGGGCACTCAGGGGTCCAGGACACATCAGCTTTGGGCCCTGGCTGGTGCCCTGCCCTGCACTCGCACACATGCACACGCGCACACATGCAGACACACACAAGCGCTGCTGGCCCTCACGCTGCGCCTCTGCTGCTCCTGCAAGGTTCGCTACCTCCTCTCACTCACCTGCTTCTCCTGCTGCCGCCTCTTGAATGGCTTTAGCTGGAAGCTTCCCCTGCCACCTGATGGCGCCGAGCCTGGCATGTGGGCTCTGATCGGGTGGGGGACAGAGGACGAGGTGGAGGGAGAGGGGGGCCTCAGCCCCAGGCACAAGGAGGCCCCTGCCACCCTCACCAGCAGAGCCGGGCACACAGGGGCAGAGGCAGTCTCTGCTGTGCCCTTGGCCCTGAAGAAGGACTTGGTTCTGCTCCCGGCTGGAGCAGAGACCAAGAGCCAGAATTGGAGGGGGGAGGGAGGGGCGGTATGACAGCTGGCGGGTAGAGCCACAGCCATTCCCCATCGGAGCCTGGCGGAGCCTGGGCCCCATGGCGGGTCCTTGGTTCCTCCAGGTGTCCTGTTCGTCCCCGGGTGCAGTGGGGTGCCCATCCCAGGCTCTGACTGTGGGCCGCCACGCCCCTCTCGCTTCCCGCACCTCCGTCCTCTCCGGGTTTCCCTTGGAGGCCCAAGGCAGGGCCCGGGGTGGGAGCGGAGGATCATGGCGCCTGTCCTCGGTGTCCTCAGGGGCAGGTGACCCGGGCGCAAGAAGCGGAGGAGAACTACGTCATCAAGCGGGAGCTGGCGGTGGTGCGGCAGCAGTGCAGCTCGGCGGCGGAGGACCTGCAGAAGGCGCAGAGCACCATCCGCCAGCTGCAGGAGCAGCAGGTGCCCGGGCGGGTGGGCGGTGCCCCGCGGCCACGCCCCCTGCCCTGCCTGGCAGCCTTCAGGGATGCGCTGGGCTCCGCTCGGCCTCAGCCCCTGGCCTTCCTGTTCCATAGGGGAGTGGGTGGTGGGGTACCCAAAGACCACCCCTCAGCCCCGCGCAGCCCCTCAGCGACGGCCTGTGGTTTCCATGTCCCGCGGCCGGATGGGGTGTCCGCCTTGCGATCCCCCAGAGCAGGGCCCCAGGAAAGGGGACTTAACTCCCGAGGGGAAGCCCTTCCATCTCCCCTGTAGCCTGGGAGCTGGGACAAGGGAGGAGGGAGGAGGCTCCTTCCTGCCAGGTGGGAGCAGCGCGTGGGATGTGGCCTGGCTGCCGCGGGGCATGAGCTCCGGGTGGCTCTCTTGCACATGGCTGTGTTGCTGGCACTGCGGCCCCACCGCACCCTGAGCACAACCGATGGGGAAACTGAGGCTGGGCTGATTTCACCCACAGCGGCCAGGCAGAGGGGCTTTATTTATTTATTTAAAAGGCAGAGTTACTGGGGGAGAGAGAGAGCGAGCAAGCGAGGTCTTCCATCTGCTGATGGTCACAATGGCTGGTGCTGGTGCTGGGCCAGGCCAAAACCGGGAGCCAGGAGCTCCATTCAGGTCTCCCATGTGTGTGGCAGGGGCCCAAGCACTTGGACCATCTTCCACTGCCTTCCCAGGCGCACTAGCAGGGAGCTGGGTCAGAAGTGGGGCACGTGGGAACCGGGCCCACGTGGGAAGCTGGCATTGCAGGAGGTGTGTTAGCCTGCTGTGCCCCAACGCTAGCCCCTCAAAGAGACTGTAACGGCACCCCTGAGCTGTGTCCCCTGGAGGGAACAGGGCACATCCTCAGCCCAGAGGATGGCTGCAGGCAGAGGGTGCCCCGGGGGTCCAGCCTGGCAGGGGCTCCCCTGGGGCCTGGAGCTCATCTGGGCCAGTGGGGAGCAATGACACCCAGGGGTCTCCGAGCCCCACAGCGGGGAGAGCACAGGGAGCAGGGGGCCCATGAAGGCTGGGAAGAGGTCATGGCCAGGGCCTGGGGCAGCAAGAGGGAGCCACAGCCCCCACCCCAGGGGCCAGGCCTCTGTCACCAGGCCCAAGTGGCAGCCAGAACTTCAGAACTACCGTCCATGTCCCACTGGGGCCCCTCTGAGAAGCCTTCTGGGATCCCAGCAAGCTCTTCCCCACCCGTCCCTGCTGTGAGCTGGGTAGGGCGCAGGGAGAGGAAGGAGTTTGAGGTACAGGATGTGCAGCCCCAGCCCTGCCCCTGCCAGCCCCATTGTGCGGCAAGGACACAGGCATTCTTCAGGTGCCCATCCTCCACTCCACCCAGGATCCGGGGAGCCACAGTCTCAGGCATCCCTCAGGGCGCAGCCTGGGGCCAGAGAAGGTCCTGTGCAGGACTTCCACTCCATGCGCCCCACTGCCAGGACCTGCAGGCATAGAGGTGGTCAGCCCAGGATGCCCCATGCCTGTCCCTCTCCCAGGGCTCATAGCAGCCCTCTGCCTCCCCAGGACAACCCACGCCTCACTGAGGACTTCGTGGCCCACCTGGAAACGGAGCTGGAGCAGTCAAGGCTGCGGGAGACCGAGACTCTGGGGGCCCTGCGGGAGATGCAGGACAAAGTCCTGGACATGGAAAAGGTGTGACGTGGGGACAGGGAGGGGCGGTGCACAGTGAGGCCCTAGCCAAGGGGAAGGGGCTGCCAGGGCAACTCTCCCCACCCCACCCTGACCCCAGGCGGTCTGTGCCCAGCGGGTGTCCCCCACCTGCTGCTCCCCAGGCCAGCCTGCCTCTGCCTACAGTCCCCATGAGAGGGCCCGGGGGACAGGAAGTTGTCCCTCTCACCCCCAGACCTTCCCAAGCCCTACACACAAGGACACGCACCTGCCCAGGGGTGCGAGGCATGGCTGCAGCAGGGAGACAGCTTCCCTGAGCTTCCTGAATTCCCCACCGTGCCCTGAGCCCTGGGATGGAGGGAGGGGGAGGGCAGGAAGGGAAGGCCCAAGCCCATCAGGGCTACCCCCCACCCAGGGAGAGACTGGGGTGCGCCCTCTGCTGCCCGTAGGCCTGGAAGGACCACCAGGCCTCTGGGTTCAGCCCAGACCCCTCCCCCACGACCCTGCTGCAGCTGTGGGAGGGCCATCAGCTCCCAGTGCCCATCACAAACCCAGAGCTGGGCCCTTCTTGCCTCCCTCCCCTGGGCAGGGGTGGGGGATGTGCATCCCATAGAACCCACCCCCTTCCACTCCCAGACCCAAGCAAGGACCTGCTCCAAGGGGCACAAATGCTCTGTGGCTGAGCCTGGGGGCTCCAGGACAGGGCCCAGCCTTTCCCCAGGGAAAGGGGCTGCCTGGCCTGGCTTGGCCCGGCAGTGACCTCAGTCTCTACTGGGGCTGCTGACTCCAGGGGCGGTGGGCACCTGGCCTGGCCCCTCACTCCCGCAGCCTGCCTGGTATTAGCAGGAGCGTTGATAGAGGACCCACAAAGTATAGGGGGGCCAAGACAGCCCTGCGGGGGACAGCGCTGCTGTTACACCCATCTTCCAGAGGGAGCGCTCCATGGGCCTGGGGCAGCTTCCCGGGTACTGCTGGCCCTGGCTCCTGCCCTCCGCGGGGAGGCCCCCCAGGGCCCTGACCACCCCTGTGCCCCCAGAGGAACAGCTCGCTGCCGGACGAGAACAACGTGGCGCGGCTGCAGGAGGAGGTGAAGGCGCTCAAGGTGCGGGAAGGGGAGGCGGTGGCGTCGGCGCGGGAGCTGAAGCTGCAGCTGCAGGAGCTCTCGGACACCTGGCAGGTGAGGGCCCCGGGCGGGCGCCTCCTCGTGCCGTCCCCGCCACGCAAGTCCCTAGCCCGCGGCTGACCGCCGGCCTGCGGGACCCTGCCTCCAGGCCCACCTGTCCCGCGGCGGCCGCTGGAAGGAGTCCCCGCGGAAGCTGGTCCCAGGCGAGCTGCAGGACGAGCTGATGAGCGTGCGTCTGCGCGAGGCGCAGGCCCTGGCCGAGGGCCGCGAGCTGCGGCAGCGCGTGGTGGAGCTGGAGACGCAGGTGGGCCTCGGGGGACTCGGCGGCGCCGGCCGGCCCCTCGGCCGGATCCTGACCGTCGTCCTTCCTCCCTCCCTCCCAGGACCACATCCACCGCAACCTGCTGAACCGCGTGGAGGCGGAGCGCGCGGCGCTGCAGGAGAAGCTGCAGTACCTGGCGGCGCAGAACAAGGGGCTGCAGACGCAGCTCAGCGAGAGCCGCCGCAAGCAGGCCGAGGCCGAGTGCAAGGTGCACTCCCCCCCTACCCGCGGCCTGTCCCCGCCCCCACCCCGCGCCGCGCCCTTGACCGCCCCTCTCCCCACTTCCGCCCGCAGAGCAAGGAGGAGGTGATGGCCGTGCGCCTGCGGGAGGCCGACAGCATGGCCGCGGTGGCCGAGATGCGGCAGCGCATCGCCGAGCTGGAGATCCAGGTGGGCGTCCGGGGGCGGGGCCGGGCCCGGGGGGCGGGGCTGGGCCCTGCGCTGAC